ACATTAAAGGGGCAATATTTCGCAAACCCCCTTTTTTATTAGCGACACTGGTGGCCGTTACTTGAACTGCAGGCAGGAACGGATTGCTCGTGTTCGCACTCGTGCGCGTGCACATGTAAAGAGCCTGAATGTGATTCGATGTACTCACGGCTAATATACTCAGTCACGGTTAACATACTCACGGCCGCTTTCCTCTCAGTAACAACATAAACACAGCAAAAATGACAGCGGTGAGAAACCAGGCCTAGTTAAAAAAAATCATATGATCATAGCGGTGTGGATATGTTTGCACCAGACTGAAATTCACCGTCATCATGTCGACAGATGAGGTAATTAAAATTAGGCTACACTGTAAGACTATAGACTATATATGGCTATGTGAGACTGTATTTTGAATTACTCCCTTTTCTTTGCATGACACATTAATATTACACTTACAGTAGAATAGCTCTTTCGGCATTATCCTGAACTGCATCATTTCCATGTGTTATAGAACGGAAGAGAGGCTCTCGGGAGCGCGCGTAAACGTCACAGCCTTTTGATTTTCCCGGCTAAAACGCCCCGAGTTCTTCACATAAAAATCAGTCTACAGGCTTTCACAGACAACCCAGGAAGAAGGGAAGGTCTCGTTTTTTTAAGTTTTGGTAAGCTGTTCACACATTGGCAATAGAAAAAGCGATTAATACATAAGAATTCTTATATATACCCCCTTTAATGCAATTGTCATTAGTAGACTATTACACCAGTGGATGTTTATGACAAGACCTCTACCTAAAGAACTAAATTTATGCTGACCTATTTCAGCTCTTTCAGTTCATGTGGAAAAGGCTTGCACCACTATCCCATTCTTTTATTCATTGCTCTGTAAATAACTCCGCTTTATGAAAAGCAGCGAATGTGACTCACGGATACCTCTAACCACAAGCCATTATTATTTCATGGCCTTTGAAAGAGGGGTCTGTAATGTGGCTCACACTTTAATGTCTGCGCTCGCTCTGATGTTGTGTGGTACACAGCGGCCCTTGTTGCACGTTGTGTGCCATCCCTCACTTGAATTAACAAACACTTCCAAGTGCATAAAAAGCACAGTAGAATAGCGTCCTGAGAGGTTCTGCAACGTGGAAACCGCCGGAGTAACTGCAGCAATCTGGGCGCAGGGGGGCGTTTTGATGGGCGAAACCTAAAAAAAATCCAAATTCTTCTCAGTGACCAGTGGAGAACCTGCTAAAAGACATATTCTCAGGTGTCTGGTAGCTCAGTCTTTGTGGTAAAGTAGTCGAATCCCTTCAGAGTAAACGGAGCGGCCCATCAGTCAGGCTAAAACTGTCATGCATGAAAATGAGCGACGGGGTCACACCAGGGACTTGGGTTCAATCACGGCCCGCCTGAGCACCTGCCCGTGACTTTGACAAGTTTGTTTTTAGAATTTTACAATTTCTTGCAAACTTGTGGTCAACGCATTTCAATTTCAAAGGCAGAAATGAGGTTAAATCGCATCTGTCTGCGCTGACCACAAATAAAACGTGCCGTTTCCTTGGGAAAAGGGTTCATTTGTTTGATCAGAGTAAAACCAGGATAAGAAATAAGATCATTGAACACCCACAAGCATGCTTTTCTTAAAGGCACAGTGTGCAATTTTTTATCTTGAGCTAAATTAAAATGCAGAGACCATTGAAAGTTTGACATCTGTTGGATTAAACATCGATCTATATGTATCAGTGTCCTGAAACAGCAAGATTGGCTCAACAAATAGCGTGAGTTTGGGGCGTGACTATCTGTTTTAAAGCTTAATAACAAAGAATCTCAGCGAATCGACTACATGCAGGCTACGCAGAAGGCCCAGCAGCACTATGCATTATTTCGTGCAAATTAACCGATCCTCTACATTTCAGTGTTCATGATGTAAACACATAACACACACTGCAACTCAACTAGGGGCCTCAGATCGAAAGAAAGCAGCAGAAACGCATGGATGTGCCGTTTCCCCCACAGAGGCCCGACTGCATCCCAAATAGCCTTTTCAAGTAAGCTGTGCCGGGCCATGCTCTCTCTCTCTCTCTCTCTCTCTCTCCTCAGATCAAAGCGGGGGACGGAGAACACGGGCCGAGTCCATTACGAGCACCTCATCTAAACAACACTCGAGGTGCCAGGAGCCGGAACAAAGCCGTGTAAGTCTGCTATTAAAGTTTGATTGTTTTTCTTTTTCCCCGCCTCTCTTTTCAGAGATGTTTTTGAGTTCCTGCGACAAATTCCTCCACGTTGCATAAAAGCATAATGCAGCCCCATTTCCACAGGCTGCAGCGTCTTTGTAGAATAAAAGATATATGTGTACAAAAAAGAAGAAGAAAAAAAGTAAGAACTCCCTGATGTTGGAGGTAGACAGTTGCTTTTCAAATCCTAGTTTTGGTCCTTTATTTTATTCAGCAGTGAAAAGCCATGAATACAGAAAATAATAACGGCCGTTACAGTTCTCAATCGTGACCTCTACTCTTGCAGAAATCCGTAACATATGGACACAGTACACGGTAATGAAAAGTATCAAAAAGGAGTCTCGATTCGAAGGAAACGAAACCAAACTGAAAGGCAAAAACAACCAAAAGGTATTCACCAATTACATAAACATGTTTTTTTTTTTGTTTTTTTTTTGCTACAGTCCCAATTTACTGTATACATAGGGGATCATATTCCCGGAGAATGATAGTTATTAGAAAGGATACATGACTCAACTGCGAGACGTAATGCTTCAGAACGTATGCACAGAGGTACAAGCAATAAATACACACATTAGGAAAAGCCTTACAGCTACGCAACGCAGATGCAGGAAAAGCAGGTTTGCTATTCTTAGCAAGCAATGAGAGAACAGTAAAAATTCATGAAATTCAGGAAAGAAAAAAAAAAAACACTTAGCTTTTTAGCTTAGAAAAAAAATGTCTGGTAAATTCATGGGTCCACCAACATTTTTTTTTTTGTATCTTTTTACATAATATGCACAATTATCAAAATACAGACAAAATCATCCCAGAAAAAAACCCAGACAATCCTAAAATCTATTGGAGGAGATTGCCGATCTGGAGGTTCTTCTGGTATTATGTGCAAGCAACTATTTTAGACATTTTTTTAAAATGTTTTTTACAAAACCCATGCAAACTCTACAGGAAATATGCATTCTGTGGCTGAGAGTTTCTTTTGTCCATCATCATCATCATCATCATCATCTCCCCCCGGAAACAGAATAGCTGAGGTATGCACACTTTATGCACTTAGTCCATCAACATCATCATCCTGACGCTTTATTATATGTGTTAATTAATTCTTATTTCCAGTCCACCAAATGAATTTAGACATGCATTTTTTAATAACACAATATCCCCTTACAGGTATTTTTACATATTCATTCTACAAATGTCTGAGGACAAACTAGTTCAATGCAAACCTTCCACATCTGCCTTTGGGAATGTAAACTGGCGCTTTTGGCGAAGTCCTGCGTGAATTAGGCGGAAAAATGTGTCGGTGGCGTTCTAACGACTCGTGCAATCTGCCATTTTTTCATGTTGTGAAGAGGTAGAAGCCTTTTTTGGATAAGTGGGAGAACCCTTTTTGTATCTTCTTATTCAAAGACGCTGCGTCCTTTTATTTGGTGCCATAAAATTATTATGAATGTCATCTTCAAGTCAATTTGCTGACTTCAGCAAAGGATAAGGGATACGCTTTGTTCCTGGATCCAGCTCCGCTGTCTTTATTATTAGTGTGTGTGTGTGTTTGTGTGTGTGTGTGTGTGTGTGTGTGTGCTAAACTAGCAGCCAACCCCTCGGTTTGGCACGAAACGGGAACAACTGCACAGTATGTTTCACACAGACAGATACAAACTTTGACATTATCGGTTACAACACAAAGCAGTTATCCGTTTCAAATGGGTTTTCTGCATTAGAGAACAATCAAAGAAAGTGAAAGAAGAAAAGGAAACAGGCTTTGCGTTATTTTCATCTCCATCTGCTGTATAAGAAGAGGCAGAAATCTGTATAACTTTGGTTTGACTGAAAAAGAAACGTTTAACTTTAAAGCAACAACCGCTTTTCCTCGATGACATCGGCAACGTCCGAATAAAAGCGAGCGATCACTTCTCGTTTCACCTCAAATAACCGGTTGCCACACATGGTCTAACCACAAACCTTCCCATGATCCAACACTAGGTGTGTCTGTATAGCCATGAATTATACAATGAGTCTGAATCAATGGAGCAAAGCAAACGTCCTCTTCCTGTCATGGCTCTGTTATTTGCTTTTACAATATAACCAAGCCACATCATTTCATATCGACTTGAAATCATGACTTTTTTGGCTTCACTAGATATCTTAAAGTTTGGTTATTATATTTTCGGTTTCGGCTCTGAAGAAATTGACGGATATAAGACATGACACGCTGGACAGTCACAATGAACAGTACATTTCACTAGTAAAAACGATGACAAGATGGCTTACGCAAATAATAATAAAGGAATACAAAAGTCAATTTTAAAAAAAAACTTTTTTTCTGCACTTCCACATAGTTATTTTGGTCATGATCCATTTATAGCTGCTCTCTGGACCTCATGACGGTAGTTGAATGGTCTTCCCGTTTCATCGAGCGAGAGTTCCGTCTGTCGATCAAATTACATCTTTATCTTTGTACAGGGCTAAAGGAGGAGACAATCCCAGAGGTTATTCGAAGGTAGTTAGTGGAAAAAAAACAACAAAACTTCTCTTTGTACTAGTTAAAGTCACAGAAGACTGACCAAAGAGTCTGGCGGCTTCTGTCTAAGCTATTGGCCGTTGATAGTGTTGGCTTTGGTTTCTAGCTGTTGCCTGTGACTCTTTGCAGGTAGACAAAGCTTTAGAACAAGGAGGTAAAGAGACTAGCAGAATATGCAGAAACGCCTCTTTTTCTTGCGTGTTTTTCCTCTCAGCGGTCGAGTTGCACCTTTCACGTTTTCAGCAGAAACAGAGCTAGTGAGACTCGAGACCTACTTTTTTGTGTACGGCTGCAACAGTCTTGATACCACGGTTGTGTTATTGACGTGACTTTAGGAAATGCCATTTACAGTTGGTGGTGCCGCAAACATGACTTGAAATGAACATAAGCTTAGTCGCAGGAGGAACAAAATGACAACAATGAAAAAAAAAAAAAACAACAACAAAAAAACTGCTTTTTTTCTTCTTTTTTTTTTTTTTTGAACATTTTGTCGACATACAGGCAGTGACACTAATTTTTGATACTACTCATGTGCAAAAAATAACAGAGCAACAACTTGAATTGAACCAGCAATTGCATCTAACACCGACGACTACTGTGGCTTGGATATTCACAAACTTAAAACTTCTTTTTTTTGGCAGTATATGTGGCCGTTGGCTTTCTACAGAACGGACTCGCTCCCGTTTCGCTTCTATCTTTTTCGGTCCATGAGCCTCGTGTTCGTTGTGTGAGGTGGCCAAGCTGATTCGAATGAAGTCTTGTCCTTTTGTTCTTCCTTTTATGTTTGTTTTTAAAAAGCAGACGTCTCATGTCTGTCCATCTGTGGTCCCTAAAGATCTGCGGTATAGATTTTCTTCGGGCCAGTCTCCAGATGCATGCTAAATAAATACTCCCGCCTGCTGCGTCCAGTCTTTTTGCTTTTGCGGTGGTTGTGTATTAGTTGAGGGGCGGGGCCTGAAAGGGGCAGAACCACTGCAGAGGGGTGGGGCAAAATAGTCATTCCAGGTCCTCCGATAGGTTGCCCTCCTCAAGCTCCCGGTCATCATCCAGCTCAGGACTGTGATTGGCTGTGGTCACCAATGACATCGGACAGTCCTCGTCGTCCATGTTCAGTGGCTCCTCCTTGACGTGAATTGGATGCCTGCGTAAAAGACATATGATCAAAATTGAGAGAAAAAGTTCTGGTCAAATATTCATTCAAAAGATTGCTGCAGTTATTTGAACAAAACTACAGTAAAAACAGTAATACTGTCAAATATTATTACAATTCTATTTTTATATTTTAAAAAGTAATTTATTCCTGTGATGCAAAGCTGAATTTTCAGCAGTCATTACTTCAGTGTAACATGATTATTCACAAATCATTATAAAATATGCTGATTTAGTGCTGAAAAAACCTTTCTGTTTTTTTTTTATGTTTTTGATGAATCATCAGATCAAAAGAATATATATTGCAACATAAAAGTCTTTACAGTCACTTTTGATCAATTGAATGTGTATTTTCTGAATAAAGGTTTTTAGGTGAAGAACATTCTTATAGATCCCAAACTTTAGAACAGTAGTCCATATAATAATAAGGGTAATCATGATCTTATATGACCATTTAAGAGATTTATTTTGCGATAATGATCATCTAACTGCACACAATCCCACTTATTACTTACTTCATAGATAAAGAAATGTACAATACATATGATTAGGGTTCGAATGACTTTCTTATACGAGAAGGAAAGAGACAACTATGTAGCACAGCTACATAGAAAATTGGTTCTTCAAAATGCAGTGACTGACCAATCACACTCAAGTATTCCAGGAAGCTGTCAAAGTAAGCACTCCTTAAGCATTGTCAACAGAAATGCAACTCTAAGATCCAATTACAAAACTGGAATGAAATAAAAGTGTAAACTCATCAACACCAACACAAAAAAGTAGGCCCGCATTCAACATGGCATTGGAGACAAACTTAACTCAAGATGTCTGTGTTTTCAAAGTTGCAAAAAAAGCGTTAACAGCAATTAAACCCCGATTAATGAAGCGTGTGTGGAAACGCCAAAGCGTTGACAGTAAAATATGCTCGCCGCTGAGAAGTTTACTGATGGCACCTGCTATTTAAAAGGGAAAAAAGAAGTAGCTGCAGCCCCATTATAAATAATGGAGAATTTCTCATCCTCTCGCCCCTGGAGCAAGGGGGGGTTTGTTGGGTGGGTGGGATAGAGTGGAGCTTTTTTTTTTTTTTATCTTGTTAATAGAAAGTGCAGGCCTTCGTTAATATGCAGGGGCCGTGGTGGCACTTCTCGAGTGAGGAGACAACCTGCAGCTAGACTCCACCATTAATCAACTTCAGACTGCCAGTTGCCTCGGACACCATGATCCATGTTTTTAACTCCAAATGGATGAATATCTTTACCGACTGTCAATAAGTGTAGGGAGGAGGGTAAAAAAACCCCCAAAAGATGCAAAGCGGTTTGGCGAGGAGCGGCGAGATGCCGGAGAGAGGGTGGAAGTTAGGTTACTAACAAGAATAATAACTCTGTCATACACAAACAAGGCTTAACATGATCTCGGGCACTTGGCAGGGAGAGAGGTTTGTGCTACCATGATAAATCTGACAAAACCTAATTATTTCTGACACGTCGGATGCATCAGGAAATCCCGATGGACTGGAGAGAGAGAGAGAGAGAGGAATCCTTATCAACTAGTCTCTGTATTAGGCCGTGTCTGGCTGCTCTCTCCTGGGTCGCGCTCATCAATGGCACGGGGAACTTTGAATATGAAAAGAATTTTAAAAGGTACAGATTACTTTAATATTTATAGCAAAATAGATTAATATTCAGATGTGGAAGCGGCAGGATGTTTCTGTCTCCTGTACTCGGCTACGTGAGCTGGAGAGAAATGGGGCGACTCTGTCGGACCACCACAGTGATATATTTCACACCCTCAAGAAATACCTGCGGATTAAAAACTTCTCCCTCCTTTATTAAAGCAATTAATTCAAGCACAATAGCGTCTGCTTGTCACACGGTGTAATCTTGGGTAGATACAGCACCATCGGCCTTTAATGTAGTTCTTTTTCGTTTGACTAATTTAACAGTTTTATATGATTTGAATAATTTGATGGAATTCATTATCGTAATTCCCATTAGCGTTTGTAAACATCTAGTCATAGTCAACAATGTCTTTTATAGCACCATTTATAGTTCTTTCCCGTATTTTTTTTAATGCAATTGTGTGTAATCTCCGCTGCATTTATCATACAATAACAAACTGATATACACTTGAGGAAATAATGCAGCAACAAATGGCCAAGCTTTAGTCTTCAAACTATGGCATTTTGGGTGGGAATATCCCATCATGCCTTGCTCTCATTGGTATATTCATCTGCAATTTTGTTATTTTAATTTGTCATCAATTTCATTCGTTTTTAACAGGCCTTACAGCCATTAAATGAATCTATAATGTTAACATCTATTTTGTCATCATAGTTTTACTGTGTGAATTGTTTTATTCCTGTCATTTCTCTGCCATCATAGTCATAATAATGATGCTACAAAGTTAAGAAACGTCTATTTGGGACCAAAAAAATGGGGTCATGTTTTGTCCGCCGCATTTATCGTTCAATAACAAACTGATACATACTTATATTTACACAAATGATCAAGCTTTGGTCTTCAAAAAGTGTTAATTTAGGCAAGAATATCCCATCATGCCAGTCTCTCAGTATCTCTAAATTTTTTAATGTTGTAATTTGCCATTTAAAAAAATAAATCATTTTACTGCTCTTACAGCCATAATAATGAAGCGATAACGTTAGTAAACATCAACTTTGTCATAATGTTTGATGGGGCTACACCGTTGACCGTCAGCGCTCAGCTAATGTTCCGCTGGCCACATTTATCGTACAATAACAAACAGATATACTTAAAGATATTACGGCGAGACAAATGATCCCGGTCGGTCCGACGTTCCACTGGCCATTAAGCTCGACACAGGCCTTTACTCCTAATGTGAAGAAGCATGGCTTACAGCTTTCATTTGCATTAATTATAAATCAGCAGCATGCTAGTGAGGTTGGAGGAGGAAGGAGAGAGGAAGAGAGAAATGATTAGTCCTCGCCGTCCCTTCTCCACTGTATTGAGATGTCAGGATGAGACATTTAGTGTTTAATGAGAGGCTGGCATGAGAAAATCTGGAGCCGGAGTCTGGCACAGCACTCAAGGAAGACACTTCCCTAAACCAAAATGATCAGAGATGACTATTACGGCAAACACCACTATTTTTAAGTGTGTTTGTGCGAACGTGTGGGTTTAACCACGTTTTATTACATGGTTCTCTGGAATGCTTGATTTTGATTGGTCAGTCACAGCAAATAGTGATTAAATATGTATATTTATTTATATACTGAATGATTACTGCAAAAAAAGTTTTTGGCACAAAGCTTGCTTTTTTTTAAACGACTGCACATCATCCCTTAAAAACGAGGGTAAATGAGCAGTTTGCAACCCATTTTACTTCCATGGAGTGAAACTGTATTAAAATTGAGCAAAAATACAGGACCTGATTTTATCCATCGAGAATTCACTGGATAAAATGTGCATTGATAAATACATTTTTTATTTTACATTGAAGAGACTGTTAGATGATCATATTGTATTTTGCTTATATAAAAGCAAGCTTAAATTGTTCTCCTCTAAAGAGATATGGCAAATATCATATGTGTGCACGCGTGGTTATCTGGTCTGATGCCATTAATGCAACATGTTCAGAGAAAGGTTAGTCTAATTGTTCTGTTTCTCAGGAGACAAAATGTGAATGTGTTGTCCTCTTTAGCTTCTTCATTATTAAATGCAGCCTGGAAAAAGCCACTCGCAAAACATACTTCTTCCATTTCGTTCATGTACAGGTCATGTAAGAGAGATTTCACCTTTATTGAGCATTTATGTCTTAACGCTTCAGCCAGAAAGAGAGAAAATATGAAAGACGGAGAGGCAGAAGGAGCGAAAGAGAGAGAGGGCGGTCTAAAAACACCAGACTTAACTGTCCATTATTAAAAGTGAAATAACCTGAGGGAGTGAATACACAGGGATTCTGTCTGGATCTCAGATTTGGCACACTTCACACTACTGTCCCACTTCTGAATCAAACACACTCCCATTAACACACATTTCTGGAGCGTGCGGTGTGTTTTTTAGCTAATAGTGTCTTTGGGTTAGCATTAGCAACTGAAAACGCATGAAACTCAAATGTGTGTGAACGCGAGTCTGACTGCGTACGACACACTTCCCGCTGCCCTTGTGCGACTATCTTTGGCTCGGTAAACACAGCCATCCAGCATGAGTGACATCACTGATTAGGGCGAGCACATGTTCTATATCACCATTCCTCCGACCGGCACCGCATTAATCTTTCATCAGCCTGTGCTCTCTCTCTCTCTCTCTCTCTCTGAGCCATTAAAAAAGATGGAAAGGCAAAGATTTTAAAGTAATTAATGATATAGTTGGCTTCTAAATATTAATAGGAACGGTCTTGCATAAAATATAACATCTAAACCTCTGCGATGTGGACAGTGGGGTAATTACAAGGGAATCTATAATTATGGCAGCCTTTCACTTCTTACCTATTTATAGGTAAGAGCTGTAATCCAAGAACCAAATGTACACTTAACCTCAGGTCTAGATGATTTTGTGTGTTTCTTTTTTTGAGCATATGAAATTTAAATGTAATTTAGGAACCTTGCAAATATACATACCACTGCAAGTTCAGTGCTAAAACTCCTGATCTGAAAGAACAAAATATTTAAATATTTTATTATAAATAATAATTTTACTTTTATAATAATTAATCATTTTGGGATCTTAAATACAAAACATAAATGACCCCATATACTTAAAAAAAAAAAAAAAAAAAAAAAAATGCACTGGCCTTCAAAAAATTCATTTTTATAATTTTACATCATTTTTACATTGTTTTTCTTTTCAGCTGGTGTAATTGCTGATTAAAAAAAACAAGCAATATAAGCCAAAAAAAATCATAGTATACTTTTCATGATCCAAGCAAATTTTGTTGGATAAAATCAAGCCCTGCCCATTACATCCCACTGAATATTTTCTAAATAACTTGAGATGTGTCTAAATGCACGTGTGAACTTACAGTTGGGTCTGCGGGGAGTATCCGGGACTGCTGTGTCCGTTAGTGTCCAGGTGATCTAGTGTGCCGTTGAGATCTTCATGCGTGGTGCCCTGCAATAGGCCGGTCGGGCTGCCGCTCATCAGTCCATGAGGACTCGCCCCCATCATACCTGACGCGCTATTCATCAAGCCTGGATTACCCAGCAACGGCAAAGAGGTCTCCGCCAACGCAGCCTATGAGAGAAAGAGAGAGAGAGGGAATAGTTACACTCAAGCCTTTTCAGCAGGCGGCATGTCATGGCGCACGGCTTCCAGCTCGTTCAAGATTATCTCCTCTTTTTTATTGAGTTACTTCCGAATTATTGCTGAAGAATAAGTCTCGCCGTATGATAAAAACAGAAGAGAACTGCCAGGAAAAAACAACAACAACGGGAGAGTTTTGAAGTTGCAAAAACAATCTCTTCACCTCACAAGACAGGCCTCAAATGAACAGCGAATAAAGAAAGCACAAACATCCACATAATAATGAAACCATCCAAAACTTTACCTCAAAACAGTTAAAGAAAAAAAAAAGACTCCTGACATTTTTGCCTCCTGCACATTAAAGTTAGATACAGTAATTAAATTTTAAAGTTTTTGCCACGAGCAGCTCGCTGGCCGACACTGCGAAGCCAAATCATTTATGACAGTTTGGATAAATATTAATGATTATGCCCTCGCATTTGCACAGGCTGCTATCAATCTGAGGCCAGGCTGGGGGAGAAGGTACCTGCCTCTACCACACGGTGTCCTTCTAGACTCTCACTGCCAGTGCCAACCTCTCTCACTCACACACACACACACACACACACACACACACACACACACACACACACACACACACACACACACACACACACACACACGTTACCTGTAAGCTGGCGTTGAGAGCCGCCCCATAACCCAGACTGGATGGCAAGTTCTTGACCAGCGTTGGGCTCCTGAACACAACAACACAAATGTTGAACAATTACTATTAATCTGACTAACAACATCTGAAAGACATTTATACTGTGTGTGTGTGTGTGCGTGTGTGTACCCTGTTATCTTCTGAGATCTACGTTTCTGATATTCCATTTCATCCACGGTCCACACGGCACCCTTCACGTTCTCCACCCGGACAAAACACTTGTGCAGGCTGAGGTTGTGTCGCACTGCGTTCTGTTAAACATACAAATATGGAATTAAAGTTGGCCATATTTACTCCAATAGATGTCTCAGTGTGCATAATTCATCAGTGCATATTAATCCAAAAAATAAAACATTTTTATATTTTAAAGCTTTCTGTTGTCATAACCAAGGAGAAAATATTAACCAATAATATCACAGCCACATTTTCACTATGCTAAAATAAAATCATTTTATGCCCCAATATCATCTACAGCAGAAGACTATTTTTGTTGTAACATGTTATGGCAGATTATACTAAATATGGGATATGGGATAAATATGGCAGATAAAACTACATTTTTAAAACGTTTTTTTTTTAAGCAGAAGTAAATTATCTTACAATAATTAAGAACACAAAAAGACATTTATTCAGTTTTTCAAAATGACCCATAAACACTCTTTCATAATCATGAAGCATTGTAAAAATAATAATAAAATAAAGAAATACGGCAAGTCTCGTATGTCGCCATAATAGAATCTAATTAAAACATGCAGCAAAGAAGCCAAATAATAACCTTTGCTCATATTACATTTTTTCATGTTTTATTTGAGGGGTGGGTGTTTTTTGCTCTAAGAAAAGGGAGAGAGAGGAATATAAAAAAAAAAAAAAAAAAACCTCATAAGCAGATCTCGCATCTGACCTGAAAATCCCAGGATTTGATTGATCTTAATGCCCATGGCTCTGAATATGATAATTTTAATATTAATGAGCAAATGAGCAGTTTTATTATGCATGCTATATAGTTATAACTAATAAGCTGGCGGGGCTGAGAGCTCGATCCCCAAGCTGAGCTGATGAGACCAAGCACAGATATTAAATCACCTTTCATTCCTTTTTAAAAATTCTCTCTGTTAATCAAATGACAAGCCCGTCACCAGCCGGCCCTGCCTGGGCCCTCACAAAAGAGCAGGGAGGATCCAAATGGAAATTCCTGCTCCGCTATTGTAGAAGGAGGGACCCGAATATGCTGAAAGCCCCTGCTTTGCCTCTTTGTTCCAGTCGGGACTAGATTAAAAAATATTTCGGTTGATAAGGACAGAGGGGCAAAGAGAGCTGGAAACAGGGATGCATTTGCGGCTACAAGGCCATAAAATGCCTAAAAACGCTCATTCAAGCGTCTCCGAACAGGCGCTCTGCCAGTAAATGAGTCGTGGCCCAGCATGCATCTGTACGGGGAGCTATTGCACACCCTTGTGGAGCTGTAATCATACACCAGCATCATTAGCAATCCAAATCCAAATTAATTCACTTTGCTAAATCTAGTGCTGGGAAATGCTTGGCATGCTGATGAGAGACGGAGAAACCTTTGAGAGGTTAAAAGAGAGGAGAAAACGGACGTGTGCTGTATCCTATCGACACGCACTGCTATACCCTGTCTAAAAATAGAGGATGGCTTTTATCGTATCCTCCTTTTCTTTTTATCCCCGTCTGACAATGTATTTGTTGGGACAGAGATACAAATGAGGCCTTTTGTCCTGGGAAATAAAGCGTGTTTTCTGGATGACAGCGGCATTAGCGCTTTAGAGCCAGGCAGGTCTTAACCTCTCTCTCCATTTGTCTTGTTCTCCTTGGCTTTTTGTCTGGCCGCACGAGTTATAGAGTGTGCGAAGCCTCGGCTGACATCAACAACAACAAGAGAAGGGATGTAGTGGTGTGCGTCTACAAGGCAAACAGCCATCCCTCAACGTAATTAACCAATAATATGCAGGGTGGGGAAGGAGAAAAAATGAAAAGGAGACACCGAGAAAGCAGTAATACGCCACGTCTAACAAAAGGTGCTGATGATTGAGTGGCTGGTTAGTAATTAGCGCGTCAGAGCACACACCTCCCCGTCAAGACTAGGCTATTAATTGCACCAAATTAGAAAATGATATCAGAGGCTGAATTATTCTTTCACTTGTCACAGAGTGAGCGGGCGAGCGAGTGCGAGATAAAGAGAGAATTCGCCCTTTTCAGGAGGCAGGTTAAAAAGAGGCGCAATCGCTGCTAATCGTCCCTCACAGGCCACCGTAACACGTTACCTTCCAGGTGGCGGCGTTGCGTCTGAAGTAGGCGAAGGTGCGTGTGAACCAGCTGTAGATTTCGTTGAGCGTTAGCTGCATGTCACCTGACTCCATGATAGCCTGCGATGAGATGCCATTAAGCGGTGCGTTAGAGACTGGAGTGCGTCAAGGCTCTCTCACCCAGACTTAATTCAAGCAGCAATTAATTACAATCTAATCAGGCTAAAGCTAATTTATTTCCCCACTCACCTGCCTGATGAGGGTTGCATAAGTAAACGGTGGCCTGACGTCAGCGTTCTTGTAAAACTCGTAGTTTGGGGCGATCTCTGCGGAGAAAAAGAAATAAAGAAACCGTAAGAACGAAGCAGCAGATAAATAAAAAAATAAACCACAGTGTCGCCACCTGGGATAATTGCTAAACGCGCCTCCGCCAGGAATTCATTCAGGATTTTATCAAATTAAAACGGCAGAGGCGGAAGGAGTTAGGAGTTGGGAGTTGGGGGGGGGGGGGCACCTCAAATCAGCATTTTACATGTCCAACTAAATACATTTTTAATTAATCTCTCTCTGGAGAAATCTTAAACATTAACACGCTCATGAAATTAGAGCCCACGTCGATATTTTGTATGTGTTTGAATAATTCATGCTTTCCCGCTGCTCCCAACACTTGCACAAGACCAGTAAATATAAACATCAAACAAGAAGATGTTTTTACATGCATCGCCTTCTTGAATATTGCATTATTTTATATTTGCCTGTAATTAAAATTCATTGAATATTGATGATTTGATTTGAGCCTGATTTGCATAAAAAGCTCACTGGAACAAACAAGCACAAAAAAAACTTCTCCAAACCTGAGGACAAGGGCATGGAGTATTTGTCGGTGTGGCGTCTGCGCATGGCGCCCATGCTGGGCACGTTGGCTGGACTGAGAACGTTGGGCACCTGGGGCATCTGGGAAAGGGGCGTGACTGGAGCGGTGGGCGTGGTCGGCGTCTGAGGTAAGTTGGGGGGTGAGACAGATGGGAGGTTCTTTGACATTGTGACGCTGGAAACGAGATTCAGCTGTAGAAGAGAGAGAGAGAGAGAGAGAGAGAGAGAGCGCACGTTTTAAACGAGTGCTGGCTCATTCCTACAGCTGTGTTTCCCCTAATAAGCATAGGAGGAAGCAGCCAATCTGCACTAATTACAGGATGAAATTGTATCATAAGAATTCTAATTAGAGCACGCTGTTAAAGATTATCTAATGATCAGGCTGTGAGTTATCCCGGCCCATCTCTATCCCATAAGAGCTCCCTGGATGCAAAGCACACGCACAGTGAGGAGATCACCTGGCTTTCTGCCATAGCCTGGTACCTCGCTAGTGATCCGTCTTGCTTTCTTCCTGTCGTACCAACCAAACACAGTGGCAGGTTTTTAATCGATACGCACTTTTTTGTGTCCCAACTTCACCCGAGTGGAAAATTCCATCCTGACCTTTAGTCTCACTGGTAATTCCTTTGAATGGTAATGACATCATTACATATTCAAACCAAATTGCCTTAATTGCGAATTGGCAGGCGGAATTCCGGTGCTTTTGGAATTGAAAACGACCGCCGGTTGAACATCAACAATCGCTTGTGGCACGTGTTGATAAATACAATGAAATGTCAAGCTGGCTATTCTCAGGCGACCGCGTGGCTGCTCTATAGACAATTACAGCTCCACTTATAATGATAATGAGATAATGCCAACACAGAGAGGGGCACGCGCTATACCACTGTGAGAAATCAATGACTCCTCTAGGGGAATGTTGTATTCTGGCTAACGACTGGAACTAAGACCTTGAAAGGAAATTAATGACAGAGACGTGATGTCTACCAGAGGGACGTCTTAGCAAAAGGGTAAACGGTTATGTTTTTGACATCACAACATCACATGCTGAGTAAATACTTGTGTCTTAAAGTCAATATGAAATTAAAAAGGACATTTACTTCTAAAACGTGCTCCTGGTCTTACTGTGAACAATTTATTGGTGCACATTATTAAAAAAAATACAATGAATAAACGAGTGAATAAATAATAAATAAATACTGTGATTTCCCCACATTGAATATACGATTACATTTTTAAATTCACCACAGATGTTGAAAACAAAAGCTTTTTTTCCCCCTCACCGTTACACTACAGTTAGCAATAATTCTGTGCATTATACTGATAAATGCAGCTTTCTAATATGAGACACAAATACAGTTTGTGTGTGAAACGTATTGCCATTTGTACATTTGTACCCTGCTTGCAAAAACACAGTTTGATGTGTAAAATACATTGTATAATTCGTCAGGGCCTGGGTCACGGCACCAGATTTAAGGATTGTCCTTCTAAATGTCTTTCTCACTGCAGCCAAACCACTGCATCAGCCCATAATTACACAGTACTCATCTAAAAAGGTTTTGATACACTGTCAAACACTGCTAAAAAGCACTTCATAATAAATCCTATCAGTACTGAGTGAGTGAGCGAGCGAGCGAGCAGGGAAACAGATAGAGTGTGCTGCATGTATATTTAAAATGTTAAGACAAGATTTTCCTTCCTTCTCCTCACCTGGTTATGGCAACAAGCGTAACATGTTTGCAGGCATACAATCCGGTGTTTGCAAAATGGAATTTATTAAAGCTTAACTGAGCAGGAGTGAATGAGACATAGGGATCAGCCCCTTACTACTGCTGCTCATCTGAATATATATTCAAGGTTGGCTGAGAGGAAGGGAAGGGGTTGGAAAAAAAAAAAGAGCCCCTCATTATTCAGGACTAGCAGCCTTGGTAACTTTGATTTTCAGCCATCCATGGCATGGCCAAAAGGTAACATTTAATGAAGTGCCATTCAGAGTTTAAATGGGGTCGTATAACAGGATACCCCGCACCCTGTGTTGGGCTACTGATAGCTGTTGAGCGTTTGTCGGTGCTAGTTTTGTCGTGCTAATAAATTCGCACTATTAATATTTATCAAATGTGTGGGATGGTTCTCTGATGGCCCTGTGCGTACGAGGGTGTGAAAGTACCGCCATATTATCTCTAACATCCCTTTTTTGCGGGGAGGATATACGTGTTCTCTTTTGTACCTGTGAAACTGATAACGCTGAAGCGCTCGCGTGAGCCCAACACTTGCACTAAAAGACAAAAAGGAGCATGCCGAAAAAAATCGCAGACCCTCGCTGATTATTTAAGAACTCGCCATTAATTGCTCATCATCAAATGCAATTAGCAGTCCTTTCATGTGCGGTTTATGTAATGTAATACTTCATTAATATTATTCATTCGTATGCGGTTGTGGATTATAGGCTGAACGTTTTTTATTAGAGTCGATTTCACCGTGCTGCTGGAGTTCTGAGAATGGAAAAAAAAACCTTGAATAATAAATCGACAGAGGTGAGCAGTCGATTCCTGATGGATTTACAGGATAATTATTCTGTCTTGTGATTATCTGCTTTATACGGTGGGAGGTGATGAGAAAAATTATACTGGTGAAATTAGCTACTTGCTAAGCGGCAGAAACACATTAACAATGTTTTCCCTCGCAAAATATTGAATATCTAATAAATAATTCTGATAAATAATATTTATCACAGCCTACTCTCTTTTGTAAACACTTTCATTTCCAGCACAACACTCTGCGTCTTTTGTGTTTTGCTTTTGATTAATGGTTAAGAACATATTTGGGAGAAAATCTGATGTTTTTTTCTTTACAGGGATGATCCAGACAGATGGGCCGTTTTCAAATATTGCTCCATTTTTTTTTCTACAAATACACCGCAATATCTCTGAATGTTTACAGATTACGGGTTATTTCTTTACAGATCATCTTATCACAGTTTCTATCTATCATTTCAAACTGTTTGTTTTCTAAAACAAAGCGTCTTCCCCCTACTTTAAGTGTGCCTGCGGTCGCGGTGCTAAATAGCTTTTACCCGCCAATAGGTTGTTTGCTGTGCTAAGCCATCAGAGTGTAATGGCTCTGCGTTTTTGGTTGAGATCGGGTGTATGATTTAATGCTCTCTCCTTCCTGATAGGGTCCCAAGAAAGCAGGCATTACAAATCCCATTCTCCTCTCATCCTCCAGCCGTGTTTAGAGAGCTCATTTACCACCCGAGTCCTGTTTACTGTACGCGTACCAATATGCACTCACCGGTTTTGGTGATGGTTTGGGCTCTGAAGGCCTCATGTGCAAGTGTGCCATCATCGCCTGAAGACGCTCACGTTCTTTAGAAAGCTGTTAGTGGAAAGAGGGAGGAAGAGAGAGAGCGAGAAAAAAAGAAAACAGACCAGTTTTAGAAATGAGTGATTTTCCCCAGACTACCACAGTAATACATCTTGTTATCGAGCTTGTCTGCTTGTAATAAATCCTGCATACAGCCGAACAGGCTTCCTTAAGCTTGCCTCAAAGAAACAGACATAAAGCAGCGGTTCTCGACCGGTGGGTCGCAACCCAAAAAAGTCTTTTCTGATGGGGTCATGGACAGCTGCAAAACAACAATGTTAAACACAAATAAAAATGCAGTTAACCATAAACTTGAGTATAGTTCAGATAGAACAGCTTTGAGGAGAGAAAACATCACATATCTTGTCCAAAGCATCAACTGTTTTAGAGCAAATTCACTTGGAAATCGGTAATATTAGTAATACTCGTCCTTTTTATTAAATTGACTATATTTCTTTAGAGCATTTTTTAATGTTTAAAACGTATTAGTATGTGCAGAAATACCCAAGATGAATAAATGCGTAAAAGTATACTTTTATGTAAAAAAAACCACGTTATTTTATGTATTCAGCTTTGTTGCAAAGTGTTTTCCTTTTATGCTTGATTTTAAGGACATTTTTGTTACTTTAAGATGATAAAAATAGTTTTGCACTGTGTTGGACACCTGAAGCAAAACCAGTTGAGAACCACTGAGAGCGAGAGAGAGAGAGAGAGAGAGAGAGAGGCGGATTAAAGCAAAGATAAGAGAACCATTCCTCGTGGTGCGGTGATGGAGAGCTGAAGGTGGTGCTCGGAGGTCACAGAAAACAAATAGCACTTCATCTTTTTGTCAATAGCAGAATTTAGGTCAGCAAAGCTCTGACAGTAACAAGATACTCAGGCCATAAATTAGAGGGTCCTGGTCGTCGACTCAAAGTCCTGTGGACACTGTTAGGGCTGGACTGGATCTAGCAGCTGCCGAGAGGTGAAGGGGTCCCGCAAACAGAGTGCCAGTCGGTCCCGCCTCCCTGCCTCCTCCCGGGTCCTCTGAGGTCCAGTTAGTGCCCCGGCGATCCGTTATCATCAATCTAACTCACGGAGAGTGACAGGGACCGGCCCGCACAGCGCACCGCCTTGAACTCCACCAGCGAGCCGGGATCCGAGCTCTGAACCGGGCCTCATTACCACTGACGGAGGACAAAAAAGGAAAAAAAGCCCGGAAAAAAGCCCAGAAGGACAGAAAACAGCAGCGCTGCTGTAATTGGTCACAGTGTAAGCACGCCGGCTTTGTGGTATCAGCGAACAAGAGAACAAGTCAAGGGAGAAATCGTGATGTCCGTCTGTTATTTTACATATAAACAAGAATTATTCATCGTTCTGTTTCAAGAGCCCAACAAATAAATAGGGAGGGTTTCGCCGAGCGTAAAAACCTTTAAAGGTTGAGGGGAACGCTTGGCTTGCATTCAGATGGGCATCACAGAGGCTTAGAGGGGCCACGATCAGAGAGCAATCCACACTACAAAGGCAAGGCGGCTTTTTGTGCGAGTAAACGTCAGGGAACGGCGAGATCTACATAAAAAAGGCCGCAAATACACCGCAAGAGAAACCGGTTATTTATTTGAAATTAACAGGAGGAGGATGGATTTTAACCCCAGCGCAACCCTTACGGCGTATCCCATGGTGCACCGGAAGGTGTGAGGCAAAGGACAGAGCGTTAACTGGTGGGAGAGATGGTCGCAGACTCGCAGCGCTGAGTAATAGCATCCCTCAATCACTGCTCTCATTATCTCGCCAGCGTGACACCTTAATAAGGTCACGCTCCAGCTACTGAAAATAGTGGCTCTCTTTAGAGGTTCCTTCAGGTGCAAAGTGTATTTAATTAACACAGTCCAGCCCAGATGCGCGCATATTAATTGGACGGGATAGAAAATAAGCACAAACCATGATTCAATTATAAAGGCCTGTGATGGTTTTCACCTTTGTTGGGATGGATTTGCTCAAGGTGTCCCTTGTGCATTTTTAAAGTTTTTTTATGGCAACAAGCTAATTAATTAAATGCACTGGAAATGTTTGGTGTTATGCTGCAAAAAAGCGGTTAAAGTTTAACAAGTGTGTGTTAAAGACAACATGAAATTCAAAATTGACATGATTTACTTTTATTAAGCCCAACATGTCGGTACTGAACACCCACTTTTCACAATTCATTCAAGACCTGATGACAAAATTAAGTCGCTTTAAATATTTCCTGCTTTTAATACACAGCAAATGCAAAAACAGGCTTTCCGAACACTCCCACTATCTGTCATTGGTCAGATCAACAGATCAACAGCTCAGTGTTTACAGACGCTGTTAACCAAATGACAAACACCACAGGCAATTTATATTGTTATACGAGCTAATAATATTTGCAATACACAATGCTAAGTTTCAAGTGTAGTTATTTTAAAGTGACGTAGTTACATTGTGCTTACTATAGAGTTACGGTTAGGATTAATTATGCATAATTTACTGGTATTACTATAGTAAGTACACGTGTAACTATGTCACCCTAAAATAAAGTGTTACATAAGCTAGTATGCGAACTAGATAAAGCTAAGCTTTGTCAGTTTTGGTTTAACGTTTGTGAAGAAATTAGCCTACAAATCATACATGAATTGTAAATTCCATGTTGTCTTTAAAGTGAAAATTACAATTCTGTCATTTACTCACCTTTGTGTTCCAAACCTGTATGACTTGCTTTCTTCTGCTGAGAAACAATGAAAGTCAATGGGGTCCAAACCAATGCTAAACCAAATTGACTTGTATGGATACACAACATTTTCTTTTGTGTTCCACAGAAGATAGAAAGTCATAGAGGTTTGAATAACATAAGCGTGAGTAAAGAATGCCAGAACTGTAATTTTTTGGCTGAACTGTTCTTTTCAGTGTGTGTTTATATTCATGAGTCTACTGTACCTGAATCTCTAGCTGTTGTACCACCTGCATCTGTACTCGGCACTGGGCGGTACTCCTGTCGTCCAGAGCGTGCTCATTGTTAAGGTGCCTGTAGGCAAACAGGAGGAACTGATGAAAAACCAACCCCACATACACACACACACACACACACACACACGGGCTGGACTAATAACAAGCGGTTGCTGTTGATCAACTACCACCGTTGTTGATGAATATGATTTCTGGATTACAGGACGTCCAGCCCATTAGCTTTTAACAAACCGCCGCTGTCTAACAAGTGTGTCTCTCGCTTGCTGAAAGCCGGTGTTTAACATCACAATAGAGCGACTGTCATGCGAATGAGAGGCAGCGCTCAGAACACAACAGCTTATGAGGGATGTTGGCGTACAAAAGGCCTCGCGCAGAGGTTTTGTCTTCTACATTTATCAAGAAATAAATATAATAAATGCAATTTAACTCGAGTAACGTTTAAAAAGCGCCTCCTACGAAGAGTGCATTATTCCCTCGACATATTAAATGTATCTACTCATCCTTTCATTAGAATATTACGCAGGGAAAAAAAACACTTCAGACTGCAAGAGCAGTCAATGGCGGTTTTCCTTGATTGGATTTTGTCTGCAGGACACAAAAGAAGCCCACCATTAAAATAGACCTTTATTCCCGGCAACCGCACGGAGGCGAAAAGGTTTTTAAAAGTGTTGTGATGTTCGGTAATGAGCCTCTATCTAAATTATCATTGGTGACAAACCCACAAAGCGCTCTTTTAGAAGACATGCTTGTGAAATGCCAATGCTGCCACTCTCTTTCCTGTAATTATAGGTTAGCTTGCAGACCCTTCAATGATCATTTACAGTACAACCTCCAGTGCATTAGTGTGAGCTTAAATTGCGCACACACACACACGCGCACGCAAACACACCCACCCACACTGAGCTAGTTTTAACACTACTAAGCATTTTCTCTATTCATTCTCTATTCATAGCGTGAGCTATTGTTTATGTGCAAAACGCAAAATAACAACGTATTCATAATCCTCCTCAAACACGCCAATCAAAGCAGAGGACATTTGAGAACACAATGGCCACCGCTACCTTTCAATTATGCCTGTGCCCATTTAAAATTATTTCATTCCATCACGCCCGCTTTTGCTATTGTAACCGTTTCAGGTCTAATGCTCAGATATTCTCCATTATAAATCAAGAGTGAGATAGCATTGAAAAAAAAAAAAAATTGGTGAGGATGACTGGAGAGCTGGTGCCTTTCTCCGGCCCCGTGCCTAATTGCTGTTTCAGAATGCGCATGCAAAGGGGCATTTCATTAATCATGTAATCAGGTCCCTCGCAGGGAACTAATGCTGCAAATACCCTTTTCATTTCACTGCTCATAATGCTATCTTGGGCACTTGATGTATGGTGGATGTCATATATTACAGCTGCTTCAAAAGCCACGACTGGCTAGTTCCTCTGTCCCGACAGGTAGCTTGCTAAATAACACATCTTATCTCACACGCCCCGTTTCTCATTAGCGACCATCTAGATCCCAATCTTGTTTCTTTTAGGAACGTGAGGTTTTCTTTTCTAATGGAAGCCCGTTTCCACGTCCAAGAGTCAAATAAAGAAAGAAAGAATTGGAAAGTTTCAAATATTAGGTTATTTAAGCATTTTTTGGAGATGGAGAGTGACAGTTGTTAAAATAGTCACAATTGTGAGATATAAAAGCACAGTTATGACAAAGTCATTAGTGTGAGACATGAAGTCACAACTGTGCAATATAAGGTTACAATTGTAAAATATAATGTAAGTTGTATGAAAAATATATTTTGAAATAGTTAAAACGCAATTAAGAGGGAAAAAATGGGGAAAGTATGAAGTGACAATTGTAAGATATAGTCACAATTAATTGAAAAAATAAATAAATTGTGATAAAGTGTTGCAAGAAAATAATTGTGATACATCTATAAGCAATAAAGTCACAATTGTGAGAAATTAAATTGCAATTATGTGAAACATAAATAAATTGGGAAAATATAAAGTCACAGTTGTAAGATAGTCACAATTAATAGAATAAATAAAATGCATTATATATAGTCATAATTGTGACAGATAAATTGGAACACCAGTCTTTTGCGAGTGCTAACGTTAGCGAGAGCCAGTTAACGTTGGTGATTACATCCAGATTACTGCATGGCTATGAAATATTCAGGCTGTAGGTGTTTCACTATGCATTGATAAAAGCAGGGGGCTGGAGGGGGGTTAGATGCAGTCACCAATATCTCTTAATGAGCCTGTGGCGCTGGGTTTAGTTCAAACAGAGAGGTGAGAGGAGAATGAGACGGGCCGCCCGCTCGCTCTGAGCAAACATCTCTGGAGCCGCCCGTAATTTATGGGTCACTTTATAGGCATATTGATTTTTGTTTTGAGATGGGGAATGAGGGCTCTGATGGTCTAAGAAACAGATGGACAGGTACGCAACGGACTGAAAAGTGCATTCGAAAACCACAGATGGAATAAAATCAGTTGAGTTAAAGCTAGCTGCAAAATATATGCTTTAAATCTCACGTTTGCCCTTTCCAGTCAATGCGGACCAATCAAATCATTATGCTAATTTCAAAGGACTCATCTCCCTCAGCCGGACATGGACTTGATTAATCAAACCAGGGACTTCCCTGTTGGCTTTCATGAGCTCCCAGTTTAAGTGGTGGAAGCTCGACAGGTTGCTTCAGCAGTGTTAAATGTTAGGTAGGTGAAAAAGAAAGATTCATTTCCCGGCAAAAGCCCGATTAAGACAGGCAAGGATTTGTTTACTGAGATGAAATACACAAGCCCTTATTGCGTTAACATTGGAAAGACGCTACTGCACATGCTAGCATGCGATGACAGCGTGTCAATCTTTATTACAGGCCAGCAGGTATGTCTGTTTTTTTCTCTCCACACTCGTCCTGACTCTTCTCAAGCATGTGAGAGGAAATCAATAAGAGAACTAGGGCAGCAATCTGGAGCTTAAACAATAACAAAATCGCCTGCGCGGCAGAACAACATTAGAACGCTATGAATTCATTAGCCCCCTCTTTTAGCTGCACATAACCCCCAAATAAGTTGCCCTGAATCAGACCCGCAAGACGTGTGCTTTGTTGCATTAATACACACGTCTCAAGGTGTACCCGCTTGCATGCATGCTCACGTGCGTCTATTTGAACTTCAGAGCTAATATAATGTGCCAGGCACCTCTTGGCTACCCCTCTCCAGGTGCGCGGCGCATGAAAGAGTGCAGAGCTGCGCTTAAATGCTGATCTTGACAACTTTCTCAGCAACACAACAAAGATTACAAAACCGTGGCTGGTTTCTTCTCCGCGAGCTACAAGCTCAAGCAGGCTGGGTGAATCCCTCCGCCCTCTGCTTCCCCATCAAAGGTGCCATTTGAATCTGACACCTATTTTATGTAAACCATTTTAAGCGTGTGTACCTGGATGATACGCAGCAGTGACTGGCATCTCCGAACGACATTAAAAGCTTCTTTTTGACACCGACAATCGCTCCTCCAAGGCACAGCGCCACCCGGCATCTCGCCGGCTCAGATCACACTGTCTTTTGTGGGAGTGTTTTCATGTACGAGTTACAGTACGGGCGTCTCCGGCTCCGGGAGCGAACTAGGGTGTCTCGCCCCCATTTCGACAAAGATTTGGAGGCTGATTGCTGTAACGGCGTCCTACCGCACAGCTTGTCAGACACAGAGCAGTTTTATTAAGTTCTCTTCAACCATTGATTTGCACACAGCGGTGAGCTGAATTTGGCGGGAAAAGATCACACGATCTCTGATGCATGCTATGCTGCAATGAACGTAATAAACGAGTGTCAATGGGGTAGACGGGGAGAGTTAACCCTGTACTTTGAGGTAAATATGGTCTTTTAGTTGACAGTCATAACTTACCAGTTAAATGGTTAATTTTAAAACGCACTCAAAGACGTTCAATTGTTTGATGTGGACTCTTTAGATTGCTTCTGGGGCGTTTGTAAAAGAAGAGAACGATGTCGCCACTCTCAAAAGCCGTTTACAAGAATTGACGTGGACATTTACACCCTCCAAACGCACCAGATTATTATTTCACAGTTAATTACGGATCTAATTAGAATATTCAAATGAACCTTTTTCTCCATTCTTTGATGGCGAGGCTCTTTCCTCAGAGTGGCAACGTGATAACCTGCAATCTCCAGCACTGCAAACACCTTCTCCTTTGATGTCCCCCCACTCACGTCCCGGCAACAAAGCCGACCAATTACAAATGAGCTAATTAACTAAATTGTTGATGGAGCATGAAGAGTTCATTTCACTCCGTTAGCCACGCCATGACAACACTGCACGGCTATGCGGGTTGCCATTAGCTTCTGCCACTCGCCTCCAACCCATCATCCACTCACAAAGCCTTGGAGACGCACGGTCATTCTGAGCACCACCTCTGATAGGCTGACAGGTGTACTGAAGAAATCTGTTGGGAGATTTGCTATCCGTTTTGTGGATTGACAGCTAAGTGTGAGCTAAACTCTGAAAACTTTTGAGATTGAATAATTTGATTTTGTTAATTGAGATATCAAATAAGCATCAAAATGTTTCTATATAGAGACATAAACAGACAAACTACTGCTTTAGTCCAAATGAGTGTTCATATAATTGAACTTATTCTCTCTTGATGGTCACTTACTTCAAAAACTGTCCAAAGTCATCACAAATACTTTCACATCCTGGCCACTTGCACACTCCATGACCATAGAGGGAGTGCGACGCTCCAGTCTCTTCATGCAGTGAACTGAAAGAGAAATAATGAGCATTAAATTAAGAAAGGAAACACCTGTGTCTGCAACTTGACACCTGTTAGGACAATATGACCAAAAGAGTCGTTAGAACGGCTCAATTTAGTGCACTTCTCTGGCATGAAAGCTTGTGAAGAGAAGGTGAATGTGGACTTGATCCTCAGGAAAGCTTTAAAAACACACGCTCTCTCTCGTCATCAGGCCACCTTTTGATTATTGATCCAGAGTATTACTGAGGAGACACGGGTGTGTTAAAAAAAACATGGCCCGGCCAAGTAAAATCACCCATCAACATTTTTTTCCACATACTTTCACCTTGTAAAGCCATTACGGACAACTTGTGAAAATATCGAAAAACCAGCAGCTGTGCTTTAATTTTCACCAGGAGATTCATTTGTGGCGGAACTGCCGTTTTTAAGGACACAACCTGTTGTGAAAAGACATTGCGGTAAGTTACGACCGCCGGTTCTAATGGTGCTGAGGGGCTAATGTGCGAAAGTGAGGCTAAGCAGACCAGTACGCTGTGTTTGTGTGCGGCACACGCTCACACACACACAAACCTCACCGGCTGTTTTACCTTGCCGTTATCGATCCAGCACATCTTAGAAAGCAGCTGGCTCTGACAACAAAACACACTCTGTGATTACGAAAGACCGTGGACCCGAGAGACTCCGCCAACACACAAGAAAAGAGGGTAACCTATTTCTTAAATTATTTCCCTGTCTCTATATTGCTCTGTTTTTTCCTTTTTCTTCTCTGCCTCTAGAAAGATATCTCTCTCAAGAAAGGGCTTTCTTTGAAGACGCTACATACTTGAAACCAATTACACAACACATCCACCCCCCAGTGAAGTCAACGGCTGTTGCTATGTACTAACATATGGCCGCTACAGACTGAATAATACATAGAGAAATATGCGAATCTATGTTTTACAGCAGACGCGGAGCATATAAAAGGGTTGTCGTGCGGATAAACGCTCAGGAAATGCCAACCCGGCATAGTGTATTCTATTTACATGACAAGCCGTGCCGGCAAAGCAATTTCAAAAGAAAAGCGAGGTATTAAATACTTAATGTACAGTGAGGTGATCTGTGTGTTCCTGCCACTAAAAGTTGCACCTCCATGCGTTTGATATACCGGAAGGCACTGCGTTCAATAGCGCGCTGTCTCAAGGGAGGTTTTGTCTCATTTCAACTGTTATCCAGACATTAATAAACTATTGATGAGCAAACAAACAAAAACACACAGCCCTCTCCCTGCAGGAATGAACATTTTCCTTTTGCAAATGGTGACAAACACATCAACTGTTCTTCTGTTTTTTTTTGTGTCGCACATGAAAAGTAGATTAAATGGCTGTTTGGTTTGTGTTTGTTAATGCATCTTTGTGTTCATGTGTACACGAGACCCTTTATCGGGGGGTTTGTGATCACGCATGTCTGAAAAGCGATTTAAAGTTTGCGTCAAGTGAAACGGAGAAGACGCTTTTATCCACGGTAACTTTACATGGCCAATCCAGCAGGATCTCAGGGGCCCAATGGTGATCAGGTAAGTGGAAGAATAAACCAGCACCTTTCTAATTAGCTTTAGCATGTGTGCGTGTTCAGGTACCTCTCTCTCCGGTTGTTGAGGGCTGGGGACTGGCCGTTGGAGATGCCGTGATGGGTGATGGGCGGAGATGCTTTGGGGTTGCTGGTGGAGGTAGTGGACGAGTTGTTGGTGGTGCTCAAGTCCAAGCCGCTGTGTTTTAGCCCATTGTCCTCCATGGCGTGGCTATTGGTGACGTCTTTCCAAAGTTGCTGGAGTTCGGCGGGGCTCAGACCAGCTGCAAGAGAACCACAAACAGCTTTAGAGAAACAATAATTCACAAAACTCATTATGAGCTACAGTCTGCCCTTTTCTAACAAGGTAGGTAAACCTGTTCTGCTCTGCAGCGAAACCTGAGCATCGCACTTAAGCATCTGGAGGTAAACCGGCACAAGATCGACCTGGACGCTCATCCCTCGCTTCGTTTCCGTGGTATCCGAAAGTACAAAGCAACCAGGAACTCATCTGAACATGATTATGCATTCATAAACGAGCCTCTGTGTGCAGAATCAAATCATCATATAATCCCTCAGATGACAAAATGACTATTCCGCTCTTTGTCGCCCCGACTATACTCCAATTAAGAGCCATTTTCAAACTATTGTCATCCAGCGCCATTTCGATAAACACAGTATAGCACCAGGTGTTTGTTCCAGGAAAAAAGCAAATGGCAACAGCTCGTCTTCCTCACAGCTCTGAGCTCGCACTGCGAGTCCGTAAACAACAACAACAGGCAAGGAGGGGAGGGTGAGAGAGAGAGAGAGAGCGGGAGAGAGGGGGGAGATAGGAAAACAACAAGAACACAGACACAGGCAAGAGAGAAAGAGAACTAGAAAAAAACTGAAATGGCAAGGAAACTGCAGCAGAAAAAAAGGAGTTTAAAAGAGGACGCAGCCACACACGCAAACTCTCATATGGTCACGTGAGGACATTACCTGGCGGCAGAGTCTGTCCGGGGAGGGTGGGCTGTCCTGGGCCAGGGGGCAGAGAGAGGAGGCCCTGCCTCTGCATGTTGAGCAGGTGCTGCTGCTGCTGCAGTTGCTGCATTTGCAAGAGCTGCTGCTGAAAGACCAGCTGCTGTGCTGCCAACTGCTGCTGTTGCTGCTGTTGCTATAGTGAAACAGAGAGAGAGAGAGAGAGAGAGTGAGTGAGTGAGCATACAGACTCAAAACACTAGTCACACACATGGACGAGAAAGTGCGTTCGGTAATGCATGTGGCCCAAGTGAAACCTTGCCGTCTCGTTCTCTTCGCCTCGCCTGTTTGCGTGTACTAAGAACTGTGTGTGAGATGTGGGTGGGGGGTGGAGCCCCCTCCTTCCGCCATTGATAGTTAATTGTCTTGCATTTCTAATGGTCCATTACAGCTTATGGGGCCACAGGGAGGGGGTGACGGAGGGAGGGAGGCTGAGAGAGATTTACAGCACCCACCCCCTCCATCCCCTCCAAACCCTGTTTACCGCCAGTCGAGCCTCTTGCATAAGCTGGCGAAGACAACAACAAAAACAACAACAACAACAGCAGCAGCGGTGGAGGCAAACCTCAGAAAAACAATGCAGCGCTTCAGTGATCAAAGCACAGCAACTACGCTTGAAATCTTTCCACGGACAAAAATAAACCTGTTAAATCACATAAACAGGATTAGCGAAACTAAATTCACATCATTCACAGCGAACAAAACATCTATGTAATGAAACACTTTTTGTGTAAAATGTTCATAAAGACATGCATTGCCACAATTTGATAATCCCATTACATGTTAAAACCCAAAACAAAGCATTTAACTAAGTGAAATCAAACCGAAAATAACAGTATTTACAGCAAGCAACATTTTCTTATATATTGGATCTTATTCATGAAACACCAACCATACAGATGTCTGTGTAAATGGTTTGTAGAACAATTACACACATAATTTGGACAGAAATAAACTTGTAAAATAGATGTATAATATTGTTGCAAAAAAAGTAACAAAATATGGATTAAACTGAGTGATATAAAATAATTCACAAAAAGCAATCGCTAATAGCAAACACCATTTTGGCCTCGTTCATTAAAATATAGCAGAATGAATGCGTGTTAAATTGTTCGTAAAATCATTCTTACGTAAATTGTTGCAGATACAGTTTACACTTTTATACAGAAACTCATTCAGCACGTTTAATGAAACAGGCCCAACATAAAATTTAGTTGAACTAGTTCGTAACACCATTTGTACGTAAATTCTCATATATGCAAATTCATTCTGTTAGTGAATCATGAATGAGGCTCAAAGTTTGTATAATTTTGTATGTGATACAATGTCTGCGACAAGACACTGTTCTTTAGTCTTGGCTTTTCGGAAATGTAAAGTGGTGTAGTAGTTGCATTTCCATGTCGTACAGACTCAATTTATTAGCTGTTTTTAAGGAGGTCTGGCTTAAAAATGACTGAAGTTTGCTTCTGTGGACAAAGTCTCCAGAGGTCCATTAGCAAACTGAGAGCTAGTTTCTGCTGAGACCCTGTTAGCTCTCTCTCTCTCTCTCCCGTCCCCTTTCCCTTTCCTCTTCTCCTGTCAGAATACATTACGACCTACTCAGTGACAAGAAAGCAAAGACCCCCATTACAGGAGGAAAGTTAAACTTCCAATTTTTGCTTGGAATTACACTAGCGGTAGGACTGAGCAGACTCCAGAGGAAGACCTTCAGTCAAGAACGGTGAGGAAGACCTCACTCTCTTAGTTTAGGGATGAGAGAGCGAGAGAAAGAGAGGCAAAACTTGTGATGCGCTCACTGGAAAACAGACTGCATAATGGAGTGAGCCATGCGGATTGGCCCCGCTGTCTCGTGAGAAATAAGGGAGCAATTTCTATTCCATATTTGATGGCTGGGGCCTGAAAAAAATCTATTCGCAAATCCAAACAGAAACAAAGCCTCCGGGAGGTCAGTCCTGCTTTCTGTAGGCCCTGCATAATGGCTTGCTTGAAGGCAGACAATGGTATAAGGTGCTGGTTGAAGAGACTGCTGGGGGCGGGGGACGTTTCCCGTCCACGTTACCTAGCTGATCAATTTAACTGCTTCCACACGTTTTGTTTGGATTGCCGCCCCCCTCTCAGCGAGCCTCGCTTTTTGATGCCTGCGTGTCAGCAACCTTCTCTCTCAGTCTCCTTCTGTCTGTCTGTCAGACGGATCCGCAGTCTGACTGTCAGTTTGATTTATGAGCTCGCTGCGGTCGAACTTTTCTGCTCGTCGGCCCAAACTCGCCGCGCTGGTTCATTAACGAACAAACCCTGTGTGGTACACTAAAACAGCCGTTTTTGCGTCAGCGTAACTCTGAATTGCCGTCAAGGACAGAGTTGAGATCACTGTCTGACAACACTGTCAGCCTAATTTAAGCGCTTCATTCGGTAGCATGCAGAAGATGTTTCTCTAGAGCGTTTTCCCTTTTTAAATGGCAGCAGAGACTGATTTACTTGTGGTTGACGAACGTGGAGGAAACCTTTACTTTGCATCATGCATATGTTTATTGGTGTGTGATTTGTACCTCTTTCACTTGTTTGCCAGGGTGCTGTTGCTGCAAAAGCTGTAGATGGAGTTGTTCCTGTTGTTTCTTATAAAACTCCTGCAGGTGTTGCTGTGGAAAGACATAGACCATCATAATGTGTGGAAAGAAACAAACTATACAAAAGAACATATGCTTACAGCAAATGTGCTAACCGCTAAGCTACATTTATGACCAAAAAACATTTGCAGTATATGGATTAAAATATTTCATGCCACTTTTTCTGCTTATTTCCTTTTGCCCAAGAAGGTCGTCATAAGAATGCTTGCACTAACTGCTTGGAACAAATGCGGTTAGTGTAAATGTTTATATAGCAAATGCGCCAAACCCTAGGCTAAAGTTGTGGCAAAAGAAACAGTTGTTGCACATGGCTTGAAAATGTATCTATTTATCAATTTATTCCCCTTTTCCATAAAGTTTATCACAAGAGTGCTTGCACTAACTGCTATACACAGAGCTAACCGCAAGGCTACATCTGTGACAAAACAAAGCAGCTGTTGTATATGGCTCGAAAATGTCTCTACTACTTATTTCCCTTTTCCCACATAAGTGTGGCCATACCTCAACAGGACAAACCGATTCGTAGCCAACTCCAGGCTCCTGAGGCTGCACAACATGCCTGGATGTGCTTCTGCACGTCACATCATAAATAACGTCTCTCTGGTCGAGACAAAGAGACCAGCACTTCCCCTCATCATGCATCTCCATACGGACTTTTATGCGGCTGCACATTACCGCTAGAGTAACAATTAATCTTACTGGCTATATATTTTTTTCCTCTCAGATGCCTTGACAGGCAGTGAAATTCTAAAATGAATGTGAAGCACTCAAAGGAGAGGATTCATCATTGTGAATTAATGCATTTAGCACACTTCTCCTCTTCTTCTCAGAGTGCTGTCCTCATCGTCAGAACACAGGAGCCGAGCTCTCCCATCTCGTTCAGCGGGAGACGTCTTCAGTACACTTGTCACCGTTTATACAGACCTAATTATAATCAAGGCTAACTGAGTTAATGGAGATGTTTTTAATGAAGAGCTCACTCTAAGAGATTTTAAAATCACTTCTGAAGATATAATCTACTCTTGTCAGAGATGTGGCGTAGTTGTTAGCTCGCATGCTACGACACAAAATGGCGCTCATGCGGACAATTCAATTTTGAGTCGGTTTTTGTTCTAAACTCCCCTTTTTCCTCATTATTTCATGTCCTCACAGTACTCTTAGCTGGTTAAAGATAGTCTCTCAGCCAAGCCAAACTGGTTTTTAGCTAGTTTGGCTGAGCTTGTCTATAACCAGCCTGGTAAGGCAGGGGAAACAGCTAAGACTAGCAAACAGCTTAGGCTGGTTTAAGTTGTTTTCCAGCAGGGATCGCTGCTGCTTTAAGTCACAAAAAGACCCTTGGTAGAGAGACATACAAGGTAAAGATAGAGTTCAAATGTCTACTGTAACTACTTTACCTAACATGTTGACAATTTAACTAACTGTAACAAACTCACTCAGCAAGATCGTCTTCAAAATGCTGCTTCATTGTGGTAAAGTAAAAACCTGTAGAAGAAGACTGTAGAAGATCATGCTAGTTTACTCTAATGCTCATTATAGTAGCCAATGCCACAACACTAAAAATGCAATGCGTCTCGCAATGCTAATTATGCTGACACATTAAGAAACCAAACAACACGTGAAATCATGCTTGTGTTGTTCAAAGCATTCAAGTTCACATACAGCTAACTCTATTTAACTAGCTTGTTTCGGTGCTCCATTTGTCCCCAAAAGATGTCCCCGCTGAAAACAACTAATTACACGCTGGTCCATATTTGTTTCTCTGATCTAACTATGTCAAGGACAGATGCGAGCAAGAGAGGATCTGTATGCTGCCATTTCAAAACATGAGTGCGTGTGGGACAGTGAGTGAGAGCGTATTTATGTGTGTTCACCTGCTGAAGCATGACTGCCTGTTGTTGTTGTAGGAGGGCTTGGAGTTGCTGGGGGGACAGGACCTGCTGTTGAAGGATCTGCTGCATCTGTTGGGGTGTGATCACCTGTGGACTCATCATTGCCACAGATACTGGCACCTGAGAGAGAGAGAGAGAGAGAGACGTAGAGAAAGTCACATTAACCATGTCACATAAAAACTCTTCAACTGTAAAGTCAAGAGCTTTTTCTCGAACTCTCTGGAAATGGTGCGAGTGCAGTATATGTAATCATTTGGCAGATGCATGTGTACTTTCTTACTCTGTCAGCTACTCCCAGTGGGAAAAGCACTGTGCTTTAAATAGAGGAGGACCTTAATTAGCTGAACCCTTCAACTCCCTCAGGCGAGTTCTAGTGCTACAACACACAAGGCAAGCAGAAAGACACACATCCAGAGCCGACTGTTGGTCGCAAGCGGACACATGGCCTGTTGAGGAGTAACTAAGCTAAGTAGCATGAATTCAGGCTGCCGTGGGTTTGAAGCTTTGAAAAGTCTGCAAGAAACTCCTGATTGAAGCTGAGCCACGGTGAAGTATTCTGTTTTACAGAGGTGAGGGGAATTACCAGTTGCCTCTCGCTGCGCATTGAAGTTTCCAAGTTGCACGCTTGGAAGAAAGCAGCCAGAGGCACAAGTCTTTCACAAGATGTCATTTTTAAAAATTCATGTCATTTTTTAAATGATAAGAATCATTAAAATGCCAGCTGTCAAACTGTGCGAGAGAACTTTTTGGGCTAAAAAACAAAACAAAGAAAATATTTTCGCAACCCTGCATTGAAATAAAGCGAGCAGTTTTTCTGGAAACACGTAACATTAACACTAATGTGGCTCATTTCTGCGCTTGTATCTAAAACGGAACAATGAACAGAATACAAAATAATTGCCAGACAAATGCTTTTTAAAGAACAATTTCCCTCTCCTTTTTTTTCTTCCCTGGACGCTGCACCCGTCTTGTATATTATGAAGCATGCTGCGTGTTGCATCGTCCAACAGAGCAGCTTCGACAGATGCCGTCTATCATCAAGACAGCCGAGCCTTTGGGCGTCATGACAGGTAAACATCTCTATTGTTGTGATTTTTGAGCTTGAGAAAAAGATGTGAGGCTCCATTAGACGTTGTGAGGAGTCCGAGCTGCTCTTCGCGCCTGCTAATCAAGGCCGCTTGATTGCTTTCCGTACGTCTGAGCTCTCAGGGCCTTGACACGTCCTTGTTTTAGTCTCCTGGCTCGGCCCAGCTCAGGTTCCCCTCTTTGATTAGCAGAGACATTTGCATGGTCACTACACATTTTTCATTTTAGAAGTCATTATGCATTAGCGCTCCTGAGCGCCGAGCTTGACTAATCCTGATGAACTGAGTAGCGGAGCTGAAGGTCACACTCCATCCCCACTCATATTCATATTCAAACAAATCCAAGCACCATTCTTCATTAGACTGGCCCCAAAACTCAATGAGTTTTCCCACCACGGAGGGAAGCGCACACACAAATGCACTTTCTTTCTTTCTGTCTGTCTGTCTCTCTTTGGGGAGAAAAGGTGTGACGAGGGAGAAGGTGGCGGAAGAAAAAAAAAAAACAAAGGAACAGAGCAACAAAGTCACAAATTAAACAGCTGCATGTAATTATGCAAATGTATGCTTACACCTTCAATGTTATTAAACCCTAAGACACATTTGTGATGTGTAATTACCCCCAGGTTCAGCCAGGGTTCTGCGCCGGCCTAAATGACAATATAAAGACCAAAGCATGAAAATACAAGAAGAGATGTTCTCATTACACCCATTATTTGTATATTTAAATGAGCTTTGGACTGAATAACCAACGATCACCTCATTTGCACCGCGGCGCTGCGAATACAATAAACATGTAAATTTCTGAACAATTCACTACGTTTATTTATCGACTACAACTGACTGTGTGTAATCCGAAGTTGCATTTTAGCCTCGAACATGGGCTCGAAATGACAAATGCGGCTCGAAATGAAATGAAATCAGGATATGGCCCTCAGCCTCTCATTAGCTTTTTAGCAGATCGACAGATGATACACATCTTCATTTCATTGCTTTTCCAAACAAAAAAGACGAGACAAAGTTGAAGTTTCGGCCCACTCACTTCCGAGTCGCGCACAATGCTAATTCCAGCATTTAACGCCGGCGTTTTCTGCATGATATATCAGAGCTTGAAAGATGAAAGCAGATAAGTAATTGCTCTCCTGGTTCTTATTCTTCACTGACAACCCATAAATTTAATTTTACACACACGTTCATTTACATTTTCGAGTATATGACATGATAATTGGCGGAATATAACACCTCCATTCCGTGGGATACTGCGGGGGGCGATGATTGACAAGCCGGGTGAATTGAAAGGAACAGAGGCTGAATTGCTTCTCCCAGAAATGATTTCACCAAGACGGGGCATAATTAATGAGCGTTTGCCAAAGGGTCGAGCCGTAAACAGTCGCAGACAATGGGTCTTTTCCCTTGCAGGATGCAAAATGAAGAATATGACTGCTAGAGGCAATGATGCAACCGAACGAGTGCTAGAAAACTTCACAGATAATGGCATTCTTCACAAATCAAAGCATCAACTTCAATCATCTGCACTTGAAGCACTCGTGCTGTGAGAAAATTTACTTAAAGACCAACAACTGATCTCTTTTTCTCACTCTTCTTTTAACAACAAGCACGTCCAAAAACGACGATCCATGAAGCTTTGATTTCTATTGGAAAACTACACAAAAAAGCTGATCTCCATTGACCTGCACGTTAGATCCACGAAGCTCAGCACCTGAGAGAGAGTAGAACAAATAGCTTTAAATTGGTCAGTGATGAGAAAACATCAGTGGCCCTCCTGAAGAACGAGCAGATCATTACAGGGCTCTCGCTATGCTGAAACGGGTCTTGACATGAGAAAGGTCAACTCCACATCATAAGAACGAAGAAACGCAAGACTTACGCCTTCCTGCATTACCTAAAAAGACATCAAATGTCCCATTGGTGTATTCCAAAATAACATATGAGAAAAAGGTGTTAAATAACCATAATTAATATAAAAGCAAACTAGCTAAAACACCTAGTGAAAAGTGATTGGATTCTGTATATATGCAGTATTGTTTGGCTCGATAAGGGAAGTTTCCGGATCAGAATGTGCTGAACCACTTGCCAGAGATACTGTTCAGATAAATAAAATGAGAATTGGGGGCGTGTGATGGCAATTACTTTAGCAGAAAGCAAAAGCATGTTAATTAAATGGTAAAAACCTGTTTAAGTTGGAAAAAGTGAGAGTTTGGAAAAACAGATTATTATGCTCACTGTCCCACTAATTAATCTCAGGGAATAGGGCTTTTCCTGAACTTTGTAAAGGATCCTGACCTTTCCACTTTGGTAAAGATAGCATTGTTAATTCAGTCAATAATTTATAGCTCCGCAGTCAAGGGCTTTTTGATGGAGTTGATTTACTAGGGGACCAAATACACACACTCATGGATTCAAGAGCCATTGACAACATAAACAAACACAGTTGCACTAATCTAAACCTGAAACACGCTAACATGCATACACACTTACACAGTGATCGTTTGGATTAGAAGATCAATGCGAACGCTCCTTGAGATCGGAGTTAAGTAGATTAAAGGAACGTTTTCCCAAATCAATTTATTTTACAGTTCAGCAAAACAGTATGGGAAGTTTAATGCACTTCAAATGATGATAGAGTGGATGTGGCCTCAGTTCGAGGGGATACAATGAACAATTCGCACAATTATCACCATATAGATAACCACACTTTCATTTCTGTCAATGAAGGGAGGCATCAAATGCTTCCCAAAGGGAATTATGAGAGGAATTAAAGAGACTTGCAGACTTTAGTACCCTTCTGCCTCGTGGCAAAAAAAAAGTAAACCAACCAAATGTGATCTTCAGGAGTTTGTGAGATAAGAATTAAGTCTACATGACTTTGTTTTCCTCTAATTTGTTTCTCACCGTATCTGAAACAGAGCATTGTCTGGCATTTACAGGGAAATCTGTCTCTCTAGCTCACTCTGTATCAGCCCCCCTCCTCTTCTCTCTCTTGAAAGCTTTGTGATGTCGCAGGTAATAGGGAGTCTGTTGGATCGCTCTCCTCGTCAAGTGACACACAGTAAATTACACAAGCTTCAAGCAGCTCGGTGAATTATAGTTCATCACTTGGAAAGACTTCCCACCACTGGGCTACGCGTATCAGATCTGCCAGTTAGGATCCAATTAACACCCTGGCCAGAGTAATCAGACTGCATGTGTAAGGGCTGCTGGAACTGGTTTATTACTCTCATGCATCTTCTGTCAGAAGGTACAGTTGTTGCTTCTACATCAAAGCTGTGCCATGGCAATATTTTTTCCCCTCACTCCCACCGTTCCACTGGTTCTTGCCTAAGGGTTATGCTTCAACTTCCTTTGCATCGCAATGTGAGTCCCTGCAAACCAAATCCCTTGCAATTTACACATGCTGTCCACTAGAAATGTAGGATGGTTTCCTAGTGACCAAAAATCAGAAAAGTGCAAATGCTTTTTTCCCTCCCTCTTTTGTTTTGGAGCAGCCAAAGTTTTTTTTGTTTGTCGTTTATGTTCCTTCGGTTTATGAATTGAAAAATTTGAACAGAATTGGCCACACCTAGGAAGTTGATTTGGAATGCACAGGAAATATACAAATGCAAATTTCTACCTACAGTATAAACCTTCAAATTTCAACACTTATTAAAACTTTCAAACAAGACCGTCAAGTCAACATTCAAAGTTTTTCTTGCCAAACTTTGCAAACTTCTTTGAATTTCAATGTATTTGAATTCTACTTTTAAATTAAAATTCAAACTCAATTCCAATTCCAATTCAGCAACTGAACTGGAATTTAAAAGGCATTCCAAATTCTCTGTACTGTTGGGTGAACGCTGTTAATAATCAATGTTAATATGAGTCCCCTTTTATAAATTCCGCTGGCTTTGTGCACGGTTCCAGTTGGCTGTTTGAGTAGATGAATTTTAAGGAACATGGCGCAGGAGTCGGACGCTCAGATGAGCTGTGCGTCGCTGACCTTTAAATCGGCGACACTCAGAGGATGGCTCACTGCTCAGGAAGTGATTGGGTTGAGCTATCTCACGCTTCTCTCTAGTCTTGGAATGCGCGCGAGCAACGAGGCGCTCAGCCTTCCTTCCCAAACGCAGGATTGAGGAAGCCTCCGGAAGGATGTATGGTTGCGAAAAAGTTACATTAGCAGAGCGTGCTGGGTTTAAAATGAACGAAAAAGGTCAACATATTGGCCGCCTGTTTCTGTCGTGGAGGCAAACGTGACAGAAACAGAGAGTGTTTGTGCCATAGTCGCATGCTAGTGAGCTGAAATTGGTTTGTTTGGTTGTTTCACCTTGTTAATGCTGGTGTATCACTCTCTGAGCCCACACCGCTAACAGGTCAGAGGTTAGCTCTACCTCTTTAAACACCTTTCTGACACCTAGATGGCTGTAATATGTCATCACAACAGCCCGATGTCACGCCTACATGCCTCTGTTTGTTCAGCATCCTCCTGTTTGCTTCTTACCGCTGTTTCGTCAGTATTCAGTATCGCTAACATGTGTTTTCACACTGTTAAATGCCCATTCTGCCATCAGGACTAGACGCCTGGGCGGCACATGGAGCCAAACAAACAAACCGGCATGTAGCTTATAGTTGGAGAATGGCAGCTGGGCTGATTGGTAGGGCAGGAGACACAATTGCCAGTCGCGTAAGCTTTCTGTAATCCCCCTTCCCTTTCGTCCTCCCGCTTTTTATTTGTGTTTTAAATGTCAGTGTATAAAATGCACAGGAGATATTGCCACTCGGAGGGAGAGGCTCTACGACGCGAGAGGACTGTTGTGTGCCTTGGGAAATCCTTGTAAGCAGCATGAAGAAGGCACAAGGATTTACGGGGAAGAAATAGGTGTTTATTGACTTCTCCTCTGGGCTTACGGAGTAATAATAGACCTGTCACATTACGCAAATGTGGAAAAGCGGCTTCTGAGCGCGTCAAAAGCGCGAGATGAGACGCTGGATAGAATTAGTCAGCCGACAGGCTTTAGACACTAATACAAGTAATTAAAACCGTGAGCTCCAGCACTTAGATGCTTGTGCGGTAAATAATTTATACGCCATGATCTATGGATCACTTTCCCTGCCTTTCCTGGACAGGGAAAGGGGCGGATTCATCAGTGTCAGGAAACGAGCAGGCGTTTACTTTTTAATGTAAATAAGTCATTCTTCAAAATGCTTGTTACTTGGCATGTCTAAGTACACGCAACACAATCTGAATCGAGTTACCGTAAGCGTATAGAGGTCAAAAAGAAAAGATATTTGAAGGTATATTCCATGTTTAGTACAAGGTAAGATCAATCGACAGCATTTGTGGCATAATGTAGATTACCATTAAACCTAATTTAAGGCCCTTGCACACTGAGTCCGAAATTCACGTCCGAAATTTTCGCACGTTAAAAAATAAATACGACCTCACGTTATGTCAATCACGCTTGCACACTGCCTCCAAAACTTTCGTCCGTCATAGAAAAAATCGGATCGGGTTCGATTTTCTGCGTTTTTCGCATCCGTAGCAAGCAGTTTGAATGGTGTTTTGACAATTCAGAGCCACCCAATCACGAATACGAAAATTTCGGACTCAGTGTGCAAGGGCCTTAAGACTCATCACTCTTTTTCTTTAGAAAAAAGCTAGACTCTGGGTTACAGAGTCTAGCAACAGGTGAATGTGGCCAATCTGTAAACGTTTAAATAGTACAGTTCAAGACGTGAAAAAGATGTGTTAACATTAATTAAATGTGAAAAATAGCCTGTGTAAACGCCCATCAATTTTACAACTTTGTTGCTATGACAGTGTAACTCCACCCTAAAATGACTGTAAAAATTATGATTTAACCAACTTTACAGCTCAAAAAATACACAAATTTTAACAGAAGAATTAAATGCTTCATATTTTTGCTTTTAAATGCTTTAAAAAATCAGCCTAGTTGACTTCTATTGTACATACCTCACCTTAACCTTGATTTTTTTTTTTTTAAAGAAAAGGAGTCTAAATCATTTTTTGTGGTAATCAACATGCTGTTGATTAAAACAGCTCTGAATAAGTTAATAAAGTAAAGGATCGACAGCATTGATTAACTACACCCGGAAGACAGCACTCAACAAGCCCTGATTCATATTGATTCATATGGCTAACATGAGGCAAGGATGGCATAAGCAAATGTAAATATTCAATATTTACCATCCTCTGGTGTTATTAGAGTCAGGGGCTCGGTCATGGGCCACCAGTTATCACAGACCTTCCTCATCCAATATCACTTGGCTTCCTCTGGAAGTATCGCACGGCAATTTGCAGTCACGCTGTGTGCCGGGAATCCATTCTCTGAGTATACAGACGGCGGCGAAACTACAATAGATACACGAAAGCGCATCCACCTAGGCTTTGTTTTACAACTAATATCTTTGCACAGAAGGGGAAAAATAATAAAACACAAAGAAAAACGTTGATTTCCGAAATACAAAACTCATATTTGCATGGAACGGCCTGAATATATTAAAAGCGAAAGGCACCAAAACTTTAACTTACGCATAACTAGATACACAAGGGTGTGACTCTTGGAGAAGGTGTCGCCATCGTTACACTCTGTGAAAATATTAACGATGAGGGTTAGCGCCCATTTTCCCTTCCTTTAATTAAATGCCCGGGGTACTAATGAGGTAAACCACCACTGATAGCGCTTATTAGCAGGGAGGAGGGCAAGCTCTCTCTCGCACTTAATTTAAACCTAAAAATACGGAGCCTGGCAGATGTCAAGCGCTTACATAATTCGAGGCGGCGCATTTGTATTGTGGGGATGTGAGAGAAATAACACATCGGCAGTCAGCGAGTAAGTAAACAGGTCTGGTAATAGGGGATGCGACGTGCGCGATGTTGCTGTGACCTTTACCAAATCACTGACAATAGCGATGCGGCACAGCTGGAATCAATAATGGCAAATTATCTTGGAGGGGTACAACTGACAGCTAGTTAGGATATGCAATGCTACAGGAAGCTACAGAGTTGTACAAAAATGAACTTGCACTTAATGTACAATGGAAGTGAATGGGGTCAATCCATAAACGTTAAAATGCTCACTGTTTAAATAATAGTATCGGCTCAAGAGGAGAACAATATGCGAGTTAAAAAGATTTAAACATGATAAAATCGATTACACATTTCTGTGTAGTTACATCCAATTTCACTTGTCTAAAATGATTTAAACAGCTCAAATAAAATGCAAGTTAAGCGCTTTTATTAAATTAAATGATACACATTTCTGCCTTTAATTCACTTCTATAGTAAATGCCTCACTGTAACTTTGATGTTTGCTTTTTTAAAAGACAACAAGGCAAAATACGTTTTTTTGTGGTAATCAACATTATGCCACAATTGCTGTCAAATGTGCTTGTATTGAACCTGAATATTCTTTTAATATGTCAAAATCTTTTGTCACAGTGTGATTTCAAGGTTGCCCAAAAGTGGTGGTGAGATACAGTAGCTCTAGACAACAGAAAGGTTTCAGGTGTAAGGTATTTTGTGTGGTTTCTTATGGAGCAGGGTAGGTCTGACAGGTTGAAATTTTACTGACAGCTGCAGAATTACATTGCCAAATCAAACAGAGTAGCTGGAACAGAGGAAATCTTTTCCAGAGCACCATGTATTATGGATGGACTTAAGAGATTAGCGAGGAACTGCTCACCTGCAACGGACGCTGTTTGTCGTTGTTCTTTGGAGATTTCAGGCCACTGCCTGGTTGCTGTAGGAGTAATTGCCTTGCTGCTTGTAGGGCCTGCAAAGAAAAGACAAGAGAAACGAAAAATGAGTTTTTTCCTCCACTTCAACTCCGGCACACTCAAATATCAAACACTATGAAAGGTGAAATCAACCCCGCACATTCCATCCACTACACTATTCATTGTTGTTGATGAGCCATGAAGCATCTCTAAGATATACATTTTTCATGATAATCCACAAAGCCGTGATGAAAGATAAATACAGTTTGTCTAGCACCTCTGAAGAGCATGAGGGGAAAAAACACACACAGAGAGTGTCAGTGGTATTGACCTGTCTAGTGTGTGCTCAGCTGAAATACCCACTTCTCTGCAAATTACCGTCCCATTTGCATATTCATAATATCAATTTGAAGTAGAGGCAGGCGATGTGAAGTGTTCCTAGAAGCTGTAATTAAAGTTGACAAAATCAACATCAGATTACCTCAGGAGTGAATTAACAAGGAGCTGAGCATTAGCAGGGCCCCTGAGCACGGGGGTGACGCCGGCCCCTCTCTGCCAAATCACTCCAAATACCTACTTATCCAATGTCATATAACAATACAAGAATACTGGGTTGCTAAGGCAAGCATCCCTATTGTTCATACTTCGTGTTAAGGCTTTGTTCAAATATTTTAACCATTAAGTATTCAACTTTGGGACGTAACATGTTCCGCACAGTTTGTGCTACAGACATGAGTGATAGCTCAAATTGTGCTATTACTTTTCTTTCTAAGGGACCAAACTAATGATTTACGCACTGATCTATATAAATGACTGAATTGCTCATTGTGTTTTTAAACTGCCAGCAGGGAAGTGTTCGATCGGCCATATTGGTATTCCCTATACCGACAAAGGGCAACAATGACTTACAGCCAAAATATTGACCTAAAATTACCCGTTTTGCAGCGTATCATTCGCACATGAATAGTTTTTAAGATATACACGTATGTATGTACATTAATTGATACTTTGAATGTTATCTGTAATGTTTATGGTCTTTTCGGGAAGGATAAGCAATATCTAGAAATCGTTAAGATGGGTGTGTCTAGGCTACTGCAAACTGCCGGGTAACTGAACCAACACAATATAGATTTTTTTAGGTACGGATCTATGCAGGAAATATTAAGCATGAACATACACTCACCGGCCACTTTATTAGGTACACCTGTCCAACTGCTCGTTAACACTTAATTTCTAAGCAGCCAATCACATGGCGGCAACTCAGTGCATTTAGGCATGTAGACATGGTCAAGACAATCTCCTGCAGTTCAAACCGAGCATCAGTATGGGGAAGAAAGGTGATTTGAGTGACTTTGAACGTGGCATGATTGTTGGTGCCAGAAGGGCTGGTCTGAGTATTTCAGAAACTGCTAATCTACTGGGATTTTCACGCACAACCATCTCTAGGGTTTACAGAGAATGGTCCGAAAAAGAAAAAACATCCAGTGAGCGGCAGTTCTGTGGGCGGAAATGCCTTGTTGATGCCAGAGGTCAGAGGAGAATGGCCAGACTGGTTCGAGCTGATAGAAGGGCAACAGTGACTCAAATAACCACCCGTTACAACCAAGGTGGGCAGAAGAGCATCTCTGAACGCACAGTACGTCGAACTTTGAGGCAGATGGGCTACAACAGCAGAAGACCCCACCGGGTACCACTCATCTCCACTACAAATAGGAAAAAGAGGCTACAATTTGCAAGAGCTCACCAAAATTGGACAGTTGAAGACTGGAAAAATGTTGCCTGGTCTGATGAGTCTCGATTTCTGTTGAGACATTCAGATGGTAGAGTCAGAATTTGGCGTAAACAGAATGAGAACATGGATCCATCATGCCTTGTTACCACTGAGCAGGCTGGTGGTGGTGGTGTAATGGTGTGGGGGATGTTTTCTTGGCACACTTTAGGCCCCTTAGTGCCAATTGGGCATCGTTTAAATGCCACGGCCTACCTGAGCATTGTTTCTGACCATGTCCATCCCTTTATGGCCACCATGTACCCATCCTCTGATGGCTACTTCCAGCAGGATAATGCACCATGGCACAAAGCTCGAATCATTTCAAATTGGTTTTCTTGAACATGACAATGAGTTCACTGTACTAAAATGGCCTCCACAGTCACCAGATCTCAATCCAATAGAGCATCTTTGGGATGTGGTGGAACGGGAGATTCGCATCATGGATGTGCAGCCGACAAATCTGCGGCAACTGTGTGATGCCATCATGTCAATATGGACCAAACTCCCTGAGGAATGCTTCCAGCACCTTGTTGAATCTATGCCACGAAGAATTGAGGCAGTTCTGAAGGCAAAAGGGGGTCCAACCCGTTACTAGCATGGGGTACCTAATAAAGTGGCCGGTGAGTGTATATCTGGGATTATTAGCAGAAATTGATTTGAATATACATTAAATATTACAATACAAACAATCCCCTATTTCTATTGCACTAGACTATGTTAAAAATGTTTGACATGCATCATCTTGCTTGGAGCGACAGTATAAATACTTGGAAATAAAAGTTTCATGTCTTTTAATCCATGTACATAGCCAGCGTAATTTCTCTGACTAAGTTGTGAAGCATGTAGGATATTATTTCCTGATGTCTTTTTGTTGACCAACATCCACTTCAGACTTGGAGATCTTGGGAACTGTTAAAAAGCCACAAGTCAGCTCAAATGCCTTACAAAGCATTAATCTGTATTGTAAAATCATTGTATCACTTGTAATATAAATGCTGAGGTGTCTCGTTCGTTGGCTGATCTAATAGTCACTAATGAAGATGAACGTAACTTTTAATAAGCAGACTTTAAACCAATAACCATTTAAATGTTTAGGATGTTTGCGGTGTAAGAATGTACAGGGAGACTTGTAAAAACGCTGACTCGTTAGGTAATGTTTTCTCATTAAAATCAGATGATTTCCTATTAATTCAATAGAATGTGAGGGAATACTATAGGGAATATCAATATGGCGGCGCGGTGGCTTCACTTGTTATAACGTCATGAGCAATCCAGTCATTTATATAGATCCATGGAATTACGCCATATAGACGAAAAATGGGCACAAAAAATAATACATATTTACATGTGTGAAGTCCCTACTCTGGGGTCTTTTGACTTGGACCAGTTAGGTTGCTTACCTAGCAACTTCCCAGAACACCCTAGCAACCACTTAGAAATGTCCTAGCCATCCACATCCTCACATTTCACCTTAGGAATGAACCGCCACTCAGAGCACAACCACCACATCCCCAAAGCACCTACAAATACCCCAACAGTCACCCTCAACACCCTAGCCACTTTTACACGGGCAATCATTTTTCTTCAGAAAATCATCTTTTGAAAAACATGTTACAGTAGTATGTGATGTCAGGTAGGTTGAAATGACGTACCTTACAGTGTTCCTTATGTATCTACAGGAATACTGATACACACGCTCAAGGGTAAGCAACTCTTTCCAGACTTCCTGGAGTTGAACACACTTGCAGACGGCCTCAGTGCCCCGACACGAGGAGAAAGCAACAAAATAAATAAAGCAATACAAACAACACAATAACTTCACAGGTGTTTCATCTGTCTGGGAAGAGGAGAGCGAAGGTCGAGGGGTGCGATGAAGAAAAAAAACCCTTCAGATAAAGAGTGACACTTCTTCCAGCAGAATCAAGGGCTTGCTTTATTTCCTGGTGCTTGCCAGTATCCATGACAACAGCTGCCTTGACAGGATGTGCATATGGCACTTCTCTGCCAGCTGGTGAGAACAATGTTTGAACTAGTACATTGAGATGCTGAGCAAACAGGGGGAGAGATGGAGAGAGAGAGAGGTGAGGGAGAAAGGAAGAGAGGGAGAGAGAGATAGGGGGAAAAGTTGCCACGTCTTAACCCGCTGGGAAGACAGCCATCCCCCTGATCAATTATGAAGAGACAGGGCGAGGAGCTGCCACTGTCTGTCTGGCTGTGCGGTGAGGAGCCAGGCTCTCCGAGCTCCTGGTAAACAAACACAACACAGTGGCGCTGGGTCCTAACAGCATCGATCTGTCTCCTCTGATGCACACACACTCACAGCCGTTGTCTGATACTTCAGGGGACACCAGGATGTGGAGAAGAGCTGGACTACTTCAGATCAGATCCCTGTCCTGTTCTGTCTTTGAAGGAACCAAACAGACAACAACAAATGCAACCAGATGACAACCAGAGTCTTGAGCTTTGAATGTGGGATAGGCTACTTGTTTAACTGGATACGTTTTGGGAAAAACTCAAGGTTTTAGGTTCTCTGAACTAATCAAGTAACATCCGAAGTTGGGAAGTTTGCAACAAGCTAGTTTCCGTACTTCATTGTGCCTTATTTTTCCATTCTAAACGATGCATTTATCGATTAGTCATGGTGCTTTCAGATGCACGAGTGAGTTATAAGTACCCTCGCCAAGTCATTATCAGTTGGGCCGGGTGGATGAGATTGTAAATTGCGGGAGATTTCACGCCCATCCAAGCGGTGACTGTGATTGTGTGGCTTTAGTGGTCGGCTAATGGCTTTAGCACAACAATTAACAGGAGGAAATGTTTATCCATGCTCCGATCAATACTGTCCTCTGATGAATAAAAGGACAAAGTCAAAGAAGTCATTCAATACAAGGTAGAGGTCAGGAGAGTGGCGCTTCCCACAGCACACGGATGGAGACGTTTAATGGCTTTTCCAATATGAACATGAACGCTGGGAAGGTGGGGGAATGTAATCAAGTCCACTTTGCCTATTAGAGGGACACTTGTTTAGAACTGTTAAAGGGATAGCTCACTCAAAAATTTAAATCATGACATTTTTTACTCAGTCCAAACCCATTTGACATTCTTTTTTCAGTGAAACACCAAACACCCCCCAAATATAATAAAGGTGAATGAGAACTGGTAATGTCAAGCTGCAAAAATGAATTCCAGAACCGGATAAGTCTGACTTTAGACTGATTTCATCAATGAATCGGATTCGTTTGTTAATCTTTTGTGTAAAGAACAGACAGACTATGTGTAAAGAAA